CCCGGTTGGGGCGGTTGGTACCTTCCAGTGGACTCACCACCCGCAGGAAGGTTTAGGTACTGCGCGCGCGTACGTCGGCCACTTTGCGTCGCCAACGGACCGTTAGTTCCTTGTACTGCTTCATACTTTATCTGACCTTTACTCAACGCATAGGTTTGAGGTATTTTTGAGCTTTTTAAAATGTTTTGCATTTACTGTTTCATTTAACTCATAATAACATTTCTAATCCACATCACCACGAAATATATTGCTGTTCAATCATTGCTTGGTTCAACTCTTAGGCCTCTGATATTTATGGAGTTGCTCAGCCCTTCTCACATGAAACAGAATTGACACAGTGGTGACGTAAGCACTGAGCTGTATTTCCTCAGTGTTCTTCAGTCAACTGAGAGATTTGATATGACTGAATGTGAAAGACTATTATTTTACCGACTGTCCACACCAACTCACACATGTGCACGTCTAATGTCCATTACACCACTGGCATTCAGAAGAAGCTCCTGTCTTGTAAAACACATGACCTCATGCACAAACCACTCACCAACCACTGTTACTCATTTTCATTGGAGCCTGCAACTGTGAGCTAAACAATGAGTCCATCCGCTACAGCCGACCATTGTCCAATCACACGTGTTTACAGCCTTCATTACCAAATCATGTCGGGTTGGAAACCAACAAACACGAGGAGTACAATGTTCTCATGTCAAAAGCACAACTGCAATTCTGTGTGTCCATGGAGCACGGCTCACATCGGATAATTACTAGCAGTCACGTAATGAAACCAGTTGTAATCACAGGCTCTACTTAGACCAGTTACACAAAACACACATAGTAATCTGTACTAATTGTCAGTCCATGGCTTCACAAAATGTAGTACCCAAACCATTATCAATAAATCAGTAGCTATTAAAAAAACAATGATGAAAAATATGCAACATTCAAAAAAATGGTAGGACAGTGGTAGACTTACCACTTGATCAATTTTACTTTTCCTTTAGGGAACGACCTTGGGCAGTTACTTAGGTTTTGGTGCAGATGAAATGGAAGATCCTGAAGAACACGTGGAGGATTGTGCAGCAGGAGTGGAAAGCTTTGAAGGTCACACGACGAGAAGGATATGAAGGGTTTGGTATGTGGCTAAAGCTTAGAAGAAAGGCATATTTGTATAAACACAATACGCTGCAAAACCTTTGTTGACCTTACAAGCACCTAACTGGTCCAGCACCAGTAGTTTGAGATTACACAAATAATAATAAACATGTCCATTGTAACCATAGATTTTTTTATTACACAATAAAAACTACCTCTCTTACTGTACATTTTGCAAAATAATTAACTAAAACAGTACAAATGTTGAGCTAAAACTCTTTTTAACTCTTACATTTACCACCTCACCATATCTAGATCTGACAAAAGTGTTGATATTTTACCTCCCTGCAAACCATGACACGTCTTTATGATTTTCTCCCCCGCGCTTAGGCCGGTGATCGTCAACTGGATTATCAGTAACGGCAGTGATCATCAACCAGTGGCACATGGGCCGAATCTGGCCCACCAAACAGTCCCATCTGGACCACGACCAGCTTCCTGATTCCCTCCACACACACTACACGCCAATGTCATGATTGCTTCATCTTACATTACAAAAACACATTTAAAAATACAGACACTAATAAAGCATCATGCCGTTGGTTTTCAGCCTTTTGCCAAGAGTCTAAAGCTGTCACGCCAATTAAACTTGAAGGGCAGAGCGATGATCGGCACAGATCACTGTGAGACGGTGAAAAGTGTGGTCAGAGGGCATGGTATAATCCTTATATCAACCAAAATTTGCACTTTGCATACTTTGTTGTTGTACATCAAAATGTTCATCTAAATTTCTGTTATTAAGAATTAGATGATTTTTCATTCACTGATTATGTGGTGCCTCCTCACTGCCATTCTTTCCTACCACAATCCTCCCCTTCAAAGCCCCAGACCACACCGGATCGCTGACTTCGTCCTGGTGTCCCTTTGACCCCAGAATCTGATCTTTAATACCTGTTTCTTTTCGCTCAGGGTCACTTGTTTTTGTCTAGCCTTCTTCACAGTACTTCTGTTTCTGTTTCTCCTGTCCCTCACCGCCGCTCTGAACACAGCCTGTTTTCACTGCACGCTACAATGGTTTCTGAGTTGCTGTTTTAACCTGACTTTATTAATAATCCGTTGAACGTTTTTCGGTGTCTGAATTTCTTTTGGCCTGTAATTACTGACTCTGACACCAGACAAAAACATACTAATGCTTTATCCAGGTGGGATTTTGTTTTACCTAACCACACTTACAAATGAATGGAATCAGTGTCATTCCCTTATTTCTGACTGCTGTTAAAAATCCTACTACGTTGATGTGCACATCTGTAGACATGCATACATATAAAAACCTACAGTTCACTCAGCTCACATACATGTGTGGTTTGCAGAAATGAAAACAGCAACATACGACCCTGACAGCTGAGTCGAGACTGCTCTATTAAAAATGAAATATATAAGAACATAAATTAGTTACGGCCTCCGACAGCGGTAAAAATAAAACTCATCCATCATTGTATTGTCTCATCAAATGGAATTGGGAAACAGCTACGGCTTTTTATGAAGTCTGACACGCAGATTTTTTTTATGCCATTCTCTAAAAAGACATGACTCACACTTTAGTTTCTAAATAACATCCCTCTACAGCTGTGGTTCCCAACCCCCGGGCCACAGACCGGCAGCGGTCCGCAGGTTCCATTATTTCCGTTTTACTTTTTATCTGATTCTGAACAATGTTTTATTTTGAAAAATTATTCTCACACTTGAGACATGTGAAGATCGCCTCGGTCACAACAAACGTCTTTGGGAAGTTTCTTAGCGCAGGGTAAAAGAGCCAGTGAGAAGACAGAAGAGAAGTCTACGTCTTCAAAGAAAATTGCACCCAATTCCGGTGGACACGGCGAACAGCTCTCCAGGCGATGAAGCCTTCAAAACCGGCGTTCTGCATTGAAAGACTAGCGTGATGTTACGAGGACGCTGCTATTAAAGTGCCTAAACGTTTATTACTGTATTTAGGAAAAACCAGTTTTTATTGGCCGTCGTATCGTTTAACACATCCGTGCCACTAAAAAGGTTGAGGACCGCTGGTCTACAGTAGCTCAACTGTTATTATTATTACTGTTATAACTGTTATTAAACTCAAGTGGAATCTGTTTTACGCAACTACAATGGGTACATCGCAGCATCAAAGTTGGTGTGTTACAGTTCTATAAGACAGTCTGTGTCGTCCGGTAGGTTCAGCTCGTATTTCTTCTGGATGTCATAAGGCAGAAAGCGCCCGGCCAAGAAGTGCTTGCCAGAGAAACTCATGGAGCACTTCTTCGGTGCTGTGAGCGAGATGAGAACTTCGGGGTGTATCCCGTCCTGACTCGGCTCTTCTACATCCCAACCTGAGGAAAACACACGCAGGTACATGACGTGTGGGATCGTGTTCATGTTCTAACTTTTCATGCTTCTGGGTACGACCACCCGAGTGCAGCGTTACATTTATCCACCCCATGCGCCTCCAAACTTCTGTCTGGACATCAGTGCTGCTGGGCGGCTGCCTGGAGGCTCATTTCTCATGTGTTTCATGTCTGATACATTGTTTTTGGTGAAAAGTAAATCCACCTGATGGAACATCCACACTGGCAATGGGAATCTTGACCTGCTTCAAGGTGCACAGAATACCACAATACGGCTCCTTAACATTAGTGGGGTCAGACTCTGCGCCCAGCATAGCATCGATCACTAGGTTGTAGGCATCGTTGATGAGCTGCATCTAAAAACAGACGTCACACAAGATGAACTGTTGACTTATTAAAACATAGTCACTCCCAACATATGACAAACCTTTGAGGACTTGTAATGTGTGAATCGATGTGCAATGAGTATTACGGCCACATTGAGAATAAAAATAAATATATCTGAGATTAATGTCGATACGTTTCAAAAATAAAGTCAAAACGGTTTAGGAACAAAGTTGTAATTTTATGAGAAACAAGTCATAGATTTATGAGAGTAAAGCTGTAATTACTATAAACATGACAAAGCGTCTGAAGGAAAACCTTGTTTAGACCACACACTGCTGGGAGGTCAAAGGTTAAATCGTAGTAGTATTCAGAGCTTTGTATTGTGTCTTCTTTCTTTCATGCCAGGCTTCTGGCATTAAACTATAAATACTATGTATTTTTTAAATACGTTTTGCATATTTATTTATTTTTACTTATCTCCGGGCGGAATACACGGAACACGAGCAAGAACCAAAATGTTGCGTTCGCTGCAGACGGTGAAGCCATTCTACATCATTTTCCATTTTCTCAACAGAAATACCAACGGGATCTGTTTTCATGACCATCACGGAAAAGACAACCATACAAGCATCTAAAACATTCTGGGTTTTTTTTGGTTTTTTTTTTCAAACAACAATAAAATGACTAATAAATTCAGACCAGCAATTTAAAAATGCAGGAAAGAAAATGGGTTTTATTTTCCAGGCTTCTCTTCATCTTTGCTTGTTTTCTTGTTAAACTGCTTTCACCCGTGCAGACTTGTTATTATTTAAGAGATGAAATCTATTACATTTGGATGAACTCCTGAAACGTAATCCCACCGTGGGGCAAGTGCTGTAAAGTTTAAAGAGTGCTGAAACCCACAGGCGTTATTTCAAATTGAGAAGCAGCAGCTCCAGAAACATGACATTACTGTAAACGGGTAATAGTATTTAAAAACAAATGTGTCTGACCTCTGTGGGTAGATAGGAAAGAAAAGGAATGTCCATCTTTTCACACTGAACTGTGAAGTCCTGGTGTACACTCTGGGAGGAGCGTTTGGGGTGGTAGATGATGGGTTCATATTCCTACGACACATTGGAGGAGAGGAAATTAAAAGAGAGTCAGAAATGAAGCAAAGCAGACAAAACATTTACACGGTTACTTCAGCCAGTAAATTATGACAAATTATTGTGTGTGTTTCATCAAAGGTAACATTTACACTGGGAGGAATGTTTACACGTGATCAGCAGCTGCATTTCGGGTTAATTATTTTCTATTTGGAAGCACAATCAAACGAAACACTTGCAGACAGATAGAGCTGAGACGATCCGTGACCTCTGTGCCTAAAATACAGGCCAAACAATTGCTGTGGATTATGTTCCCGCTGCTGTTTTTCCACCTCAGCTCGACAGTTATTACATCTATCTTGGGGAGCTGATGGGAAAATCTATGCCGTTTATACATAACAAATCAGCTGAAGTAAAGCTTGAAAAACTTCCAGTCTTCAGGAGACGTCTGAAAGCACCTCAAATACTTGTGGTTTAAAATCTCTGAATACAGAGGGGTCCTCGACTTCAGTCCAAGTTCCATTCTTGCTGTGTTAAGTACCTCGATATTCACCATAAGTCGTAAAACACATCAGTACTAATGTCACTCACCTCAGTGGTTACATCATAATCTAGGACATAAAACCACAACAACAGTCTGACTGACACCTGGGAGCCAAAATGAAGGGCATAAAGTTCCCAATAAAACAACACAAATCAAAAAAGTGAATGTACCTCAATGCAATTTAGTTTGACCAGCGAATGTAAACAAAGCCGTCCACTTCCACATAGTTTTGCTCGCCAACTTGGCCCCTTCTTAAATAATTAGGTTTTTAATGCCAACCTTACTATAAACATGCCTTACTATAGCCTTACTATCATGACAAATGCAAAAACAATAAAAAGTCCCCGAAATGCCTTTCAATACAAGTTTATACACCAAAACATGCTGCCAGGTGAATAATTTGTGCTAAAATCTCCAAAAAATAATTTATCTGAATATTTCAAAATATCACCCAAAACATGCCTGGTCCTTCCAGTTAGTAGTGTATTGTAATTATTAGACATTCATGAAGAACACATTATTATCGATGGTATGACTTTACACGTTTTCATCATTTAAGAGTGTGTTCGTGCACTCGTGCACGTATGAAATTAATTAAACCCCTTCAGGTGTAGCAGTTTTAGTTTTTTGGGTCACAGGAAATGAAACTTTTGGACAGCATCAACAGAATGTTGTGATATGTTTACAGGACATCGGGGCTGAAAAGGGCAAATGCTACGCAGTGAAGTACCCACGATGCCATCTTTAAATCAGTAAGTCTGTTTTACTGTGAGTGCGATTAGATTATTTTCCCCCAACTTCTGTTGATACGTTTTTGGTTTTTTTATGTGCGTCTTGAGTTCAGATCCTTGCCAAAGTAATGGAATTGTATCAGCCGAGAGCAGTGGTCCTTCGGTGTGGAGCCGATTGAACGTCAATATTAAAGGTCCAGCCATCCATCTTCATCCGCTTATCCGTTACCGGGTCGCAGGGGCAGCAGTCACATGACCACCACCCAAATCACACTGCACCGTACCAACCCCCCTGAACCTTCCTGAGTGAGTACCAACTGCCCAGGAGGTGAACCCTGGGGTTCCACACCAATGACAGAGACATTGCCTCTGGGCCAAAGCACCACACTATTAAAGGTATGAAAAGAACTTGATTTAAGCCTTTCACAGGTATGGACAAAGGAGTGAGTGACACCTACTGGAGAAATCCAGTACAGAACAGATTGATGGAAACAGTATTAGATATGTAACAAGTTGTATTTATAGTTGAAGCTTTTTGTAACATGCTAGTGCTAAACACTTTGAACATAGTGTAGTCATCTGAGAGCATTTGTGTGTAATGTTGTCTTGTGGTCAACAATACCTTCAACCAGAATCCAGACCCTCATTAGAAGCTATAGGAAGCGTTTAGAGGCTGTTATTTCTGCAAAAAAAGATCTACTAAATATTGATGTAATTCTTCTGTTGGGGTGCCCAAATTTATGCACCTGCCTACTTTTGTTTAGGTAATTATTGTACACTTTCTGTAAATCCTATAAACTTAATTTCACTTCTTAAATATCACTGTTTGTATGCTATATGATATATTTCATTAAAATTGCTGTTCCAAACAACCAATGATCCATAAAGGAAAATCTTGAAAATGATCAGGGGTGCCAGAACTTTTTCATACCACTGTATATAAACAATAACTATTTTCTTTGTTCAAGACTTCCATTACACAAATGGACATGACATTTCCATTCAACAGAGGAAGTGGGCTAAGACACAACCTATCACCCACATACTGAAACCATTCTGCTGAGGATTACAATGACCCAGATGACCCCGACGGCCCACCCGACAGGAGGGACCTAAATTAGCTTTTTTTTTTTTCATACCCACCGTATACTGTATATTAGCTGTACTGCCCTCTACCAGTTAGAACTGATGAAACCTCTTGGATGAGAGGCGAAAATGTCACATCCACTTGCCTAACGGAACTCTTCAACCTGGACCTGGATAACTGAGAATCTTCATAGACAACACTTTTCTTTATTCACCTTCGAAAACTAAAAACTCAGGATTATTTTTTTAGCTTAAAAACAAAACTTTTCTCTGGGCATTCTCCTTGATGGCCAGTCTTTCCAATGACGTCATAACATTTTTCAACAACTGTTATCTCATCAATTATTTATATAAGAGTTCTCACCTTGGCTGCGTTGTCCTTTGAGGCACTGATGAACATGGTGAGGTCTACAGACGCCTGGAAGTCGTTGATGTGCCTGCTGTGCTCCTTTGCTTTCTTTAGGACTTCTTTGGAATATTGACAACAAATAAACAACAAAAAAAGTTCCTCATTATTACAAGCTCTACAAAAGATGCTGTCTGTGATTCATTATTTCCTTCAGTATTTCATTTCTATAATACTGTGTGCAAACTATTTCTTTAGCAGTAATCAGGAAGACGTGTACTATGTGCAGTCTTGTTTCTTTTATGGTATTAATTTGTTCACGTTGCGCGTGATGATTACCTACCGATCTGTGGATCCCTCAGGTCGAACAAGTTCATGAAACACTAAAGCCCTTCTGCTTGTCTGTGGAAAGCAGGATGATTTTTGCTGTTGCGTGTTACAATGGCAGACATTAAAGAAGGGACACAGAGCAAAAATTAAACACCAAAATACATTTAAACACTCAGACTAATATGTCTGCTGGCCTATAACTGTTTATTTAATTTAATATTTTCACTACTCAATTTATTTTACATATTTGTTCACATAACATCCTTATAATTATACTAGTTCTGCTTATATATATGTACGTGGTATACTTTACTATACATGCACATCATAACAATTTAATTTAGAATAACAATAGTATAACAAAAATATAATATATTATAATGGAGATTGCAATCAACTAACTAACAATACTACTAACACTAATCTATCTATCTACTTAGATAGATAGCACTTTATTAATTCCTTGGGAGTTCCCTTCTGGAAATTTAGGAACTTCTACCAACAGACTAATCTACTAACATCCACTGTTCAGATTTCCCATGTTCATTGACAGTGTGCTGCTACTCATGTGTGTATTTTACCTATTTGTGTGTTTTTTATTGTTGTTTTGGTGCTGTACTGCTCCTGGAACTCCCGAGGGATTCAGAAACTTCTATATATCCATCTATCACATGCATTTTCTTTTCACCCTCTGGTCTCGCAGTTGTCAGCTGATCCTGTCAACACATTTTTGGTGTCCCCTGAGAAGAGCCAGTTAGGGAACGTAGCATGTATCCTGGAAGCAATTCATGAGTGTACGCTAGCGTAAACTGTGTCATGATTACACATTTACTTGGTTCAATAACTGTCAGACAATTAATCACTAAACTACATTTATTATGCTTTCATTAGTTTCACAACACTGTGCTGTTGCATGATAACATCACCTTGCCATAACCTGCCATAACGTTGCAGTATGCCACTCTTCCCTTATATATTGCGTTTTTTGTTTGAGTTCTCCTTCACATTTGTTATATTTTCTGACGCAACACAGTAAATGTTAGGGCCTTCACATCGCTAATTATTAGTGATATCAACTTGTGACATCCCTAGTGAAGACACAGCAACATACCGAGCTAAATGACATCAAAGGATACAGTCGACCCACCGAACACTCCCGTGTGTCCGTTGTAGGTGCCGAGTCGTACCACACGTTGGCCACCTGTGTGGGGAGACATTGTTGAAGGTAAATATTAAAAGGCTTCAATGCAATGATCGCTTCACCTCACAAATTATTGATTTGCTCTATGCTACTGGTGCCACGAATAACCTCAGGTTGAAATCCACGTTGCACTACTTTCCTTTTAAACTGAATGAAAATAAATCAATTCTACTGGTCTTAGTCCCCTTTTCATGATAACGCTATGATTTTCATATCATACACACTACAGAGCATATAGCCTTACTCTGCTAGCAGAGTCCATATTCTTGACGTCAAACTAATTACTATCCTAAAGTCACTGGTGGCACTTGTTAAGCACAATCATTTTGTGTCACTTACTGGATCTTTAGCGACGGAAAACAGGTCTCCTTCTCCGTTGTACTTGATCTGAGTGATGGACCGTCCGTGGCCCAGCAGCAGGATCGGTTTCTGTACAGCAATATTTGCAAGTTCATTTCATATTTTCAAAAAGGCACATCGGGACAGCTCAAACTCCTGCCAAAGGCCAATTTCTTATTTACCACGATAACTCCATGTTCATTATTTAGGACGAAATACTAACTACGAATCATTGTAACTTAAACTGACAAAAGCTAACGTTAGGGATGAGGATCTAACGTTAGCTTGCTAGCTATGCTAGCGTACACTGCGCACGACTACCATTTCAAACAAAATACAACCGACAATTGTTTGTTTTTGTTTGTTTGTTTTTTAAAACCCATCATTTCAATCAATCACATGTAGCTACCGTGTCTAGTCTTTTGACTTGAACGCCCGCTGAATACTTAAACGGCTAACATTCGTGTCTCATGCGCCAGATCTGCAACCGGAAATAAGGAGCGTAAAACGTATTCCTATTTCCGTTACAGAAACGTTCAAATATCAGCGCGCGCCCCCTACAGCACCAGGAGTTCCAGGAGCTCCAGGAGCTCCCTGTTGAACACATTCATAGGCAACCTTCCCATTGGTGCATATGTGTGTGTTTGTGATGAAAGATCCTAAAAAAACAACTGCAAACAAACAGGTGGGATAGCTGACGTTGTCCTAGTTAAAATAACCAAAGGATGTAAACAACAAAAAGATAATGAATGAACTGCTCATACACCATGTTAGAATGCAACTTGTTCAAACATGGGCTGCACTTAATGTGTCTAGTTTTTAGTACTGTATATAACCAAAAAAGTATATTTTTTCTGAATTTTAACCACAAATATGGATATAGCTAAGTATTTTAAAGCAAAAGAGTGTATTTTTAGTCATTTTTGAGAAACTTTTCAGATTTCCATTTTCAGAGATTTCCTCAGGAACTTATTGGTGTAGTATTTTACTGTGATCAAAAGTTGGTGTACCAAAAATTTTAAATGTATTTCTGGGACTTTCTTTTTTTTTTTGTGCATTTTTTCGTGATAGACTATATAGTCTTGCTAGTTTTTGGTGATATTTTGACATGTTCAGATATGATATTTTTAGCGCAAATTACTCACTTGGCAGCATGTTTTGGGGCATTAACTTGCATTAATTCATTAAGTTAATTTTAATTTGCAATTTTATTTTATTTAATTTGTTCAAGAATACATTTTTATTTAGTTAATAATCAATTTTAAAACATTTGAAATTTGAAATGTTTGATCTTTTTGCTCATGAGATTTTTAAGGACATGATTTGGAAAATATTTTGAAAAAGGTATTAAATTGTCAGTAAATATTTTAAAAACTTTTATATTTTAAAATTTTTTCAAATAATTCCATGTCTCCAATCTTTGAAACTTGAAGATTTTATAAGAATGACCCAATACGTTCCTAAATACACTGAAAAAGCAATCATTTCTCAAAAATTGATCAAAACGCAGTCATTTGCCTTAACATATGTAGTAATGTCGTTTTACATTGTTAAAATAATTTATGTACCCCAGGTTTTTAGACAAATAATTAATGAACTAATAATTAATAAATACCTATGATTATGTTGAAATTATATACCAAGTAACATGCATGTATCTCACCTTTTACCTCCACAAAACAAACAACACTCTATAGCCACCAAAGACACAACCTAAACCTTAAACGCAGAGACATTTTGCAATGACACATATTTATCCATGCATTATCTTAATTCTTCCACATTTAACATAAAATAAGCAGATATGGCAACACAAAACATGACCTAATGTCAAATTCAACCATTTCAATGTAAACAGGTCTCTGTAAAATCAACAACTCCTGTGGATTCTTATTATTATCTGTGACCAAAACATCAAAATTGAAAAAAAGAAATATCTCACCGCCACCAAAGACATTTTGCATCACAATCCAGCAGGTGGAAGACCAACAGCCTGTCTCGGTACTATGGATGGCACGTTTCTGAAACACATTGGAAGCAGAAAAAGTGATCAAATGTTAAAACCTATAATATAACAAGATGTAATGGCCATGAATTTATATTCTTCGTCGTTGTGCAACTCAATGTAAGAACCTTGAGATTTGAGATGTCCTGCACTCGGTAGACGTCACAAAAGGGCAATAACAAAAAATACTCTAAATAATAAATTTGGGTTTTGGTTAAAAAACTGCTGGACCCTCGGACCCCGCTCCTCTTCTGGACCAGTGTTAAGTCGTTTACTAAAGTGTATGTCTTTTTCTTTATTTTTATGTATTTTATGAAAAACATTTCTGTCCCCAAGGGGAGGCATGACTGAAATTAAATTGAGAACCACTGACTTAGTTTGATCTCTCCTGACTATATCACTCTAATACTAACAGTGTAACCAGGAGTGTTTTCTTCTGCCTCAGTGTTGCCCTGTAGTATATTTCAGTACATCTTTAACGCTTTGTTTTTGCTTTATTATTTCACTTGCAGCTCCTGTGAGAAAAGTTTCATATTATGCATTCTGGACACAGGCAGCTGCTGCTGTCGTGGACCTGAAGTCACACTCTGACTGGTTCGTGGGGGACACTGTGTGTGTCCGGGAAAAAGGAGGAGACGGATGAAAGCCTGAGTCACTGACTGGTGCAATCTGTCCCATCCCACACCAGCCAGAGTGTCCTGAAGACGAGTGACGTCAGAGCATTCATCCTCTGTCAGTGATGGGCTCCCTGTGTGTGTGTGTGTGTGTGTGTGTGTCTGTGTGACATCAAGGTGGCGTTTCTCTCTAACAGACAGAACACAGAAATCCTGGTGAGTGGAGATGATGTGAGATGATGGTGGTGTCCTTGAAGAAACCAATTAAAGTTGCAGTGCATTGATAATGATATTTTGAGTACACGTAGGGTTACTGTTACCTGTGTAAGGTCAGCGTTGAAACATATTGTCTTGTTTTCTTCAGGTACCTACAGCACACCTGGAACCACAGCACTGTTTGATAAAAGGAGATCACTGATTATTCATTTCACAATAAAAGCTTTTCTGCAGCAGTTCAGAAGTGGGGTGAAAAGACTGTTGTACTTTTATATGAAGAGGTTTGTGGAAATACTGCATGCGTTTCCTTTGTTTGTGTTTGAACTGTATTTGGAGTTCTTTAGAAGGTTTTTGTCTTTGTGCATTTTATAGCTTTATTTGTTTGACACTGGGCATTATGGTATGGTATGCAATGGTACGGTAAATTAAAAAAATAAAAACTTCTACAAGCAGTAAAGATGCAGCACTTACACTATTGTTTTCCTTCTTTTTTTAATGTTTTCCACATGGTGGTAGTCGGAGGTCTGAGATTGAAACTCATCATCATCATTTCCTGCAGCTACAGTAAACAGTAAATCACCACAGACTCGTGCGTAAAGCGCACACTGTATAAAAGCAGCAGGTCGGCCAACACAAAGGACAGAAAGGAGGCAGATTCTCATAGTTCTCTGCACAAACACAAAGAGCAGCACACTTTCCACCCTACAGACTGTGTTAAGTCAAGCTCGACAAACAGCTGCTCTTCACCGCTGACGTCTTCACCCCTGCGTTGAAAATCATTTTGAAGTTTTTGACGCTCAAATTTAAAAGTGTGAACATTTAAAAGTATTACATTGATTTGTTGTATTATATTGATACTCCCTTCCTCCCCATGGGCCAGTATTAAAAGAACAGCCTGGGGGTTATTGATTGGCCGGGGAGGACCGCGCGCACACTGGGCCCCCTCCCCCTGTAACGGTGTGCGTCTGTGGTTTGACCAATCCGCAGCTCCTCTCTGACTCCGGAGTGACTTGAAGACAGTCAGTGACATGGGACCATCCCATCCTTAGCCTTTTTACTGACGCTGCGCCTCCAAGGAAAATCCTTTTACGCACCAGGGCTCACAGGAACTCCCAGGCCATGGAGAAACCCGGAGATGCATACGGTGCTGCCTTTTTGAACTCTCTCTTTCCGAACACTCTGAAACAATCTGTGGACTTTCCTAAGGATGAAGGTGCCGCGGGATCAGGGGACTCCAGTAGTGCCGCGTTTGTGGAAGGAACCCCACTGTGGACTGGAGTGGAGCTGATGGTGGCTGCGGCCACGGAGACCTCTCACCTGATGCCCGCCTTCTGGGATTCCCCTCTCAGCCACGGGATCAATGTGTTTGTGGGACTGGTTCTCTGCTTCACCATGCTGGGTCTGGGCTGCACGGTGGAGGTCAGTCAGCTGGGAGAACACATCCGCCGACCCGTCGGGGTGCTGCTGGCGCTGGTGTGCCAGTTCGTCATCATGCCCCTGGTGGCCTTCCTGCTGGCTCTAGCCTTCTCTCTGAATGAAGTGGCGGCTATGGCTGTCCTGCTGTGTGGCTGCTGTCCCGGAGGAAACTTATCAAACATCATGTCTCTGCTGGTGCACGGAGAGATGAACCTGAGGTAGGACTCTGAGCCAGGAGCACAGACACAGAGACGAGAGGCTGCGGTTATCAGCACAATGAATTAAATAGCTACTTTGGTAGTTTAAATGTTACATATAATAGTTGTTTTTTGTGTGTGAAGACGACAGTGGAGGTGACAGAGATGAAGTTGCTGAGTTTTGTGATGGTACTAGAACAGAGGGGTCAGGATCAGAGACGAGTGGCTCAGAGGGAGGGACCGTTAAAATCAGATAAGTTTGAGATGTCGGTGCTGAGGACAGACAGTGGACATTTATGACAGAGGACGTTGGAGATGGAGCTGTGAATGCAGTCGTTGGACCAGTACAGTTTGAGGAGACGGATGGTTCCACTGTGTTCCCTGAACAAGGATGTGTAAGAAACTTGTTGCTCGGTACTGCACGTACCTGGCTCAGCCGTGGTCGGAGTACCTCTTGTTATTTCGACGTCAACTACAGCATATTGTCTGTTAGAAGAGAAATAAAACTGCGCTTTGCTACGTGAAGAGTTTTTTTTTTTACTCACTGGTGTGAAAAGTGACTCTGCTTCACAGTGGACTGAAGTTTATGAATCTTGGTGGTCCCGGAGTCTGACCCCTGCGGTCCACGACCATCCCTCTAACACGGCGCCTCTTCTTTCCTCAGCATCATCATGACCATCTCCTCCACGCTGCTGGCGCTCGTCCTTATGCCGCTGTGTCTGTGGATTTACAGCCGGGCGTGGATCAACACCCCCGTGGTCAACCTCATGCCATTCGGGGCTATCATCCTGACCCTGTGCAGCACCCTCATCCCCATTGGGTTAGGAGTCATGCTGAGGTACCGCTACACGCGTGTGGCCGACGCTGTTTTAAAGGTAAATAACATAAAATAAAAGAGCACAAATGTGGAGGTGATTTAATAAATGAATATGTTAGCGTTTAAACACGTGTAATATTTATTTTTGTGCTCTTCGTCATTTGGGCAAAGAGTCGTCATGGTGTAAAAGCGCATTGCGTAATTACCCGTGTCGTTCATTAACAGAGGAGGACGCAGACCGGAGGGACAGTGACGTCATAGCCAGCTCCTCCCTCTCATTTCTTATAAAAGTCACATATAATGGAGAGCCGCGTCACTTACGTCACGCAATGACAGTACACAGTCACAAGCGCCACTTAAACAGTCCAGCCGTGTGAACAGATGCCGTGGAGCAGTGTTTTTCAAACCTGGGGTTGCGACTAAGAGGGCCACACTGTGTGGAAAATGTACCGTACTAGGGCTGTAACGATAAACTCAACTCACGATACGATATGATTCACGATCCTTTATGGTGATACGATGAACCTTTATTTGTAAGGACTGTTATCTTTAAGGTGGTCTGGTCATCACTGGCTGTCAATATATTAAACAATAAAAGAATATTTAAAAAATATTAACACGTTCTGTTTGAACACCTGAATGCCACTTAGGCTAGTAGGGACCTTGCATCTTGGTTTAACAGCCGGTCGCTACCAACGTTTTAAGACGTATACTGCCACCTGCTGTGTAACCTCATTGTATGACCAGGGACTTTTTGAGATATCGCAGCCCATTTCTTACCCCATAATGCGCGATTTTTTTTTATTTCAATCAATGCAAATCGGCAGGCATGTGTATCGATGTTTAAGTGATTCACGATGCATCCCTCGTCCTTGTAGAACATAGGCTTCCTCTGCTGTTGTCTGACACAGAACGTGCATTTTTTTGGTTTGTGACGAGGCCATGCTTAGTTCACCTGGCTTTCCCACGCCGCCTACTGGTCAAATGAGGCTATGGCGGGCCTTCTCAATGAATGTGAAACACTACAACCACTGCTGTGAATGGGAGGGTAAACAGTGGTTTGTCTGTCGACCCTACAGTGAACTGGCAAACTGATCCATGGGGACAATTCTACAGTAATGACAACAAACAAATCTGTACCTGTAATCCCTGTGTTCCAGGCGTCCCTCTGGTCTCTTCTTGTCACACTGGTGTTGCTCTTCATCCTGACTGGAGCCATGCTGGGCCCAGAGCTGCTGTCCACCATTCCCTTCTCCGTCTACGTGGTAGCCATCCTGATGCCAATGTGCGGCTACGCTGCAGGTTACGGCCTGGCCAGGCTTTTCGACCTGCCGCCCAACAGCTGCAGGTCTGTGTCTCTGGAGACCGGCTGCCAGAACGTTCAGCTGTGCACTGCCATCCTAAAGCTGGCTTTTCCCCCTCAGTTAATAGGAGGGATGTACATGTTCCCCCTGCTGTACGCCTTGTTCCAAGCAGCCGAGGCCGGCGTCTTCATCCTGGCCTACAGGCTGTACAGAAAGGAGGTCCTACACAAACCTGATCCCATGAAAGACACCGAGGACACAGGTATCACTTACCAAAGGTTCAACGATGAGGAGGACTTCGACTCGTCTTACGGCGCCGTGACAGTCAGTGACCCAAACACGATCAAGCTGGACCCCTGTCCTCCAGACCCTACTCCTGTTTGATTTGCTGAAATAAATGATAATAAAAGAATAAAAACTACAAAGGTAGAGGAGCAGGAAGAGCCCAGCAGGTGGAGTGGTTTCTGCCATCCATAAATAACTCTATAATACCAGGGCTCTGAGCAGGGAGATCCAGGAGGACTGCTGAATATTAGATGTCTTTGTCTTTAGTTCCATAACGCTGTTGAAACATGTCTGATCGATGAGTCATCAGAACCACACAACGTTGATCAGACTGTGCATGTGTGTAAAGTGTGTGTGTGTGAAAACATCTTACCATCAAATCACGACTACTCACCATGTGACACGTGCAGATTTCCTGTGTTCAAAGAATTGTACAGTATGAAATGTATATAATAATATCATATAGTATAATAAATGCTGTATAAAAGTATCAGGTAAACTTTGTCAGGTGTCGGCTTTTTTGGTGTGAAATTTTAGATACAAATTACTGCAATTATATTTAGTACAGATCAAGTCATGATCGAAATATACAATAACATTTTTAAACACATTTTCTTTTCATTTCATCGACATCACCTGACCCTTCCCTCCTGGGTTGGGTTGGGTCAGGAAGGATATCTGGTGTAACTGAGCAGACTACTGTTGCTGTAATAAAAAGACACAACCTGAAAGTGATTAAATATTTTTTAACAGATATACTTAATGGATTAATACAAGGAATTTAATACCAGGGGATTTTTCAGACCAGTGGTCTTCAACTGAGCTGAAGGCTACTCCTCTCCCACTAGGGGACAAAATTACAGCTAAATTTCCAGCTAAAATATTGTAATTAAATTAAATAATTTTTAAAAAACCCTCAAGAGTAAATTAAACCATTATTTATTTACATCTAGTAGCCCAAGTGTTTTACCACATTATGAAGTACAAATTAAGCATTTATACAAATAATTAGTAGTAAATTCTGACTTCACGTTACTGACCTGACCCCGTCAGACTTGTGTAAAAAGCCGAGCCACACCTGACCATCATCAGTCCTGATGGAGCTCACGTGTCTCCTATTTAAACACCTACACATCACCCTCTTGGTTGGTTGAACACAATGGCGACGTATACTGACGAGCCAGTCGACAGGTATTATTACTCCTATAACCCTTACTCAGGCAGATACACCAGGGGCAAAGAGGCGGCCTGGAAGTACAAGAGTTATCTCAGCCACTATGGCGACGCCTCCGAGGCCTTCAGCAACCAGCAACGAGCTCAGCTCAAGTCCATCTTATCCCAGATCAACCCCAAACTCACCCCGAGGCTCCGCAAGGCCAACACCAAGGACGTGGCGGTGCAGGTGAACCCGCGGAAGGACGCCTCGGTGCAGTGCTCCATCGGCCCGCGGACACTGCTGTCCATAAAGCGGGACTTCAGGCGGAAGGGTCAGCAGGAGACCGCGTCACCCAGCGGCGGCGGCAGCTCCAACAAGCAGGCGGCCGGAGTGCGTTACCCCCGCACCCTCGCTGTCTACTCCCCTGTCGCCTACAGAAGCGTCACCTCTTTCCTAGTGGATGACAATAACAACGAAGACGCATCCTGTGGACAGGACCACGGTCAGGGTAAGGTCACAGAACCGCAGGTAGAACCGCCGGAAGACCCGCCTCACGTACCGGAGAAAACCGAAGTACAAGAGGACCAGTGCCAGGAGGAAGAGAGGGGGAAGAAAATGAAAGTTTCGTTACAAAAGTCTCAAAATAGCAAACAAAAACAAGCGAAAAGCGGCGAAGACGTACCGTCATTCGTGGAGGGGCTTAAGGTTAAAGCCCGGGTCAGGTTCCAGGTGAGGTCACATCCGCTGTCGAATCTACATTGACCGTAATGTTGTCAGAAAGCAGGGTGTCAAGCACTTCACTACTATGGACTGGTTTAATATCCAACTTTAATTGCATTAACTGTAATTTGACCAAAGTTTGTCATTTAAGTACAGGTCACTTTATCTAGTTATTAATGAACTTTTATTCCTGCTTACAAAACAGAATTATAAATTACAAGAATTTGACAATCCTAAAATGTAAAGTGATTCAGCTGCTATAAATTTGGGTGAATATAAAGGATATGGACTTGGATGTTCACAGTTGTGGCTTGTCTGACTTGCTGATATTTGCTTTCTCATTAGTTCCTGGAACAGAAGTATGGCTATTATCACTGCAGAGAATGTAATCTGCGATGGGAGAGTGCCTATGTGTGGTGTGTTCAGGGAACCAACAAGGTGAGAAGTCTGTAAAGACAGTAAATCTGCTAAAAGTGGTACTTTTTTTCCCCCTGTGGGTTGCATGCAGAATAAGTCCTAGATCTAAGATTTAATTCCACTTATGCCCCGTGTTATTTTTAAACTACTGTTGTGCTCGTGCTCAAATTGTGCAGATGATGTACTACCGGTTTTATAGGTCCAAACTTGATTGTCTTTTCCAGGTTTACTTCAAGCAGTTCTGTAGAAAATGCCAAAAAGAGTTCAACCCATATCGTGTCGAGGACATCACATGTCACGTAAGCGCCTTCTCTTCATCTTTGATCTGTAAACAAAATATCAGACAACGTCACAACCCTTTGTTTCTGCCTCTTCCAGACTTGCAACAAAGCACGTTGTTCCTGTGCAATAACACAACGCCACGTCGATCCAAAGCGGCCACACAGACAGGACTTGTGTGGCAGGTGCAAAGGCAAGCGTCTGTCCTGTGACAGCACGTTCAGCTTCAAATACATAATATAAAGGAACATGTCCAGAGAACTTTGCCTCATATCCTTCTCTAGCCATGTTTGTGGAGGAATGGGCGAGTGACATCAGCCCAGTGCTTTGTTTACTGATGCAATAATGGCATCTTGGATGAAAAGTATGATCTAAAACTTATTTTGTATGTTCTGTTGATTAACAACACTCCTTAAATGTAATAAATGGCTACCTTGCACAGTATTCCTTTATCTTTTTGTCTGTACTTGTCACTCCCTGATGGCAGGAAAGGTGTGAACCAGTCTGAACAAAACTGGACTTCTTTTGTGATACAACTGTGCACTAATATAAACACTGAAATGCAACATTGACAATTCCACTCACACGATACATTTCTTCCTGTTGGCGAAATTTAAGTCTGGACCCTAGTAAGGTCCAATCTGATGATCTGTCATGGTACATTAGTGTGCCACTGTACAGTGGTTGGGAACTATTGGTGTAGAGGAAGTCACAGGGGAAAAAAAATCAAGGTGGATTAAAATTTAAGGCTGTAGTGAGAGTTTTACTCCTGTCAAATACAGATGTATTCAACATTGGGACAGATTTACTGTATTAGGTTTTTATTTATCCAGAGAGAAGGCTGGTATGTAAGTGAACAAAAATGTATGCACCTCTATATTAAAACATCTTTCAGGTAAATAAACTTCATTAAATAAGAACAGCATTCAAATGTACCAGACAAGCAGGGAGAGAAGAAAATAAAACAGAGGAATGAGTACAGTGACGGTTACAATGTGCCATGGTAACGTTTCCAGAAAGCATCCAAACAATGGTTCATGTCCTGCAGCTCACAGCAGGATGTAGGGCTAAACACACCCAGACCAAAAACAAAAGATCCAAAAGTCAAGGATCATGACTGCTTTTTGTTTTCTGCAATCAGATTATTTGATGTTGACAAACAGGTTGTCCCCTTAGTGAGGTTTCATGCAGGGGGCGCTGTGCTAACAAGAAAGACCACAGTAAAGTGAAGGAATGCATATAATGTGGCTTTGGCTGAGCTGCTGTGGTGGAGTACGGAGGTACAGGCTACATCAAGTCTCCCATCTCGTTGTTCGTGTCAGATTTTCACCAACAGAGCCTCCACTTTGATAGACCACGACCACTGACCGAGACTAAATGTGGGTGAGGAGTTTGTGAAATGCGGGAGGAAGAGTGGGAGTGGGGTGGGGCAAAAGCAGAGCGCATCATTAATGAGTCAAATCTGGTCTTGGCTTTCTCTCATCACATTAGCTTTATACATACATCCTACTCGGATGAACAGTGCATTACACAAAAAAGTACAAGGGAAAAAAATACCGGTTTTACACTATACATTCTCTAAAATATATACAGAGTAAAATAAGTTATGAGTTGGAGCCAGTTCTGCACCTGTGTGCAACTATATGCATCTGTGTGTGAGCGTATACTAGAATATCCAATATATAATCACACAGTCGAGAGTCTCTAAAGGCAGCTACTTATTTGGTTTAAGAGTGAGTTTTGCGTGAACACCTGTTGAAGGGGATCGTCCTCTCAAAGCAGATCAATAAACAGATATTATATTTCTCTTTTTACACTCCCTGAAAGCAGAACATCTCCCACAGAGTTACAATTACATGTTAAATACCCTAACATTTACAACCTAGGATGTTAGCTCTAATAAAAAATACATTTCTCAAAAAATATTCTTGCAGTGCTTTTCTCTTTCAAGCATGCTTTGTAAAACTCTTTTTCTTTCCTCTTTGAAACTATTTTTTTTTTCAGGTTTTTGCTTCTGAATCTTGACAGTGTGTCCCCACATACATTATGACACGTCGTCCTACACACACCAGTTTTCAGGCCATGGCCTAAGGAAACCACTGGTGTGTGTGATATGATCATTCAGTCAGATCCAGCAAAAAATAACAGAAAAAAAGAAAGAGAGACAGAGAGGAAACAAATAAAAATATCGACAAAACAAAAAAAAAAACCCACTGGCAGACACACTGATCACATGACTTATTGCAATTGAATTATGCAACTTGGCTTAGTCAGAGTAAAGATATTAGTTTAGAAGCATCCATACAGGCGAGTCACAGTTATTCCCACTCATCCTTTAGCCCTTTAAAAGTGGAGTCTGGTCCTCCTTGGAGACCCCCACTCCTGTCTACATCCCTGTCTACATGGGGTGCAGTCCAGTCTTTTCTAGTCTGCAGTACCACAGGCTCACAGCCCAGTGCTGACCCCAGTGGTGGTGGTGGTGGTGTGGGTCTGACAGGCCTGGGCCTGACTCAGAGCTTCACGGATCTGTAGGTTGAGCTCCATGAGGCGGGTGCTGGCCTGAGACAGGTCCCTGCTGGGGCCCACCACTGCCAGGCAGCCCGTCTGGCCCAGCGTCTGGTGACGGAAGTAAATGTGGAGGAGGGTCTGTATCGCGTTGTCTGTCTCGTTGCCGAAGATGTCGTTGGGCCACATCGACCTAAGAACAGAGGGCAGACGAGTGACGATTGGTTCAAATGATCAGGCAGCGGTTTTGCTCCCCTCATGTGAGGGAAGATGTCATGATATCCCAATTTAATAAATAAGACCAATCTAAGGTTCTTGTTGTTTTTGGCTGATCATCTGGTTGGTCCATACCTGAAAATCTTGACCTGTGAGAGGGCAGATCTGAAGTCTCTGGCTCTCAGAGTCTCGATCAGTGCCTGGATGGCCGTCTCCGTGTTGGTTTGACCTGTGTCCGACATACACACGTCCTCCTGACTATCGTTGCTCGTTTCGGCCTCCTTCAAACAGCTCTCCAGAACAGTGAGCTCCTCAGACATGTTGATCACCTAAACACCAAGTGAACACAATTATATCAATGAGG